CTCAAAAAGCAAAAAGATAAAGGCAGACATCATTTGTCTTTGTCCCCTTCTGTGTTGCTTGCAGTTCCTAAGACTGTAGATTGGATTGCTGCGCAGGGGCTGGAGAGATGGCTCAGTGGTGAAGAGCCCTCTGGCAGAGTCAGGGGATCCGATGCCCTCTTCTGACCTCTGAGGGCACTGCACGACACGGGTGTGCTTACACACACGAAGGCAATACACTCATACACATAAAATAAAGATAGTAAATAAAATGTTTTAATAAATAAATAAATTTCTGTCCAGTTCAGCCTGGGAAGCTTGTAGGCATAAGTGGGGCATGGGAATAGAATCTGGAGTCGGTTATTGTCAGTTCATCTCATCTCTGTCTCTTGCAGGCTATGCCCAGGAGGAACAGCTGAAGGAAGAGGAGGAAATAAAAGAGGAAGAGGAGGAGGAGGAAGACAGTGGCTCAGTAGCTCAGCATCAGAGCAGCAATGACGCTGGGACCGATGAGGAGCTAGAAACCGGCCCAGAGCAGAAAGGCTACTTCAGCTGCCAGAACTCTCCAGGAAGCCACCTGTCCAATCAGGACGCGGAGAACGAATCTCTACTGAGTGATGCCAGTGACCAGGTGTCAGACATCAAGAGCGTCTGCGGCCGAGATGCCCTGGAGAAGAAGGCGAATGCTCATCCCAAGCTTCCAAGCGAAACCCATAACTGCATGGATAAAATGACGGCCGTCTACGCCAACATCTTGTCGGATTCCTACTGGTCAGGCCTGGGCCTCGGCTTCAAGCTCTCAAACAGCGAGAGACGGAATTGTGACACCCGAAATGGCAGCAACAAGAATGATTTTGATTGGCACCAAGACGCCCTGTCCAAAAGTCTGCAGCAGAACTTGCCTTCCAGGTCGTCTAAGCCCAGTCTGTTTAGCTCCGTGCAGCTGTACCGGCAGAGCAGTAAGATGTGCGGAACCGTGTTCACCGGCGCCAGCAGGTTCCGCTGCCGACAGTGCAGCGCAGCCTACGACACCCTGGTCGAGCTGACCGTGCACATGAACGAGACGGGCCACTATCAAGATGACAACCGGAAGAAGGACAAGCTGAGGCCCACGAGCTACTCAAAGCCCCGGAAAAGGGCCTTTCAGGACATGGACAAGGAGGACGCTCAAAAGGTTCTCAAGTGTATGTTCTGTGGTGACTCCTTCGATTCCCTCCAAGATTTGAGCGTCCACATGATAAAAACAAAACATTACCAAAAAGTGCCTTTGAAGGAGCCAGTACCAACCATCTCATCAAAAATGGTCACTCCAGCCAAGAAGCGTGTTTTCGACGTCAACCGGCCTTGCTCCCCCGATTCCACCACGGGGTCATTTGTGGATTCGTTTTCTTCCCAGAAGAATGCCAGCCTGCAGGTGCCCTCCAACAACCGCTATGGCTACCAAAACGGCGCCAGCTACACCTGGCAGTTTGAGGCCTGCAAGTCCCAGATCTTAAAGTGTATGGAGTGCGGGAGCTCCCATGACACCTTGCAACAGCTCACCACCCACATGATGGTCACGGGTCACTTTCTCAAAGTCACCAGCTCTGCCTCCAAGAAAGGGAAACAGCTGGTGTTGGACCCGCTGGCGGTGGAGAAAATGCAGTCTCTGTCAGAAACCCCGAACAGTGATTCTCTGACTCCCAAGCCATCCATCAATTCAGCATCTGACTGTACAGCCTCCACCACGGAACTAAAGAAAGAGAGTAATAAACAAAAGGCCGAGGAGCTCAACAAAGAGGAGAAGGCCGTGAAAAGCGAGGGCTACGAAGATCCTCTGCAAAAGCCTTTAGACCCCACCATAAAATACCAGTATCTAAGGGAGGAGGACTTGGAAGATGGCTCAAAGGGTGGGGGGGACATTTTAAAGTCACTGGAAAATACTGTAACCACAGCCATCAACAAGGCCCAAAATGGCGCTCCCAGCTGGAGCGCCTACCCAAGCATCCACGCAGCCTACCAGCTGTCAGAGGGCGCCAAGCCAGCCATGTCCGTAGGGTCACAGGTCCTGCAGATCCGGCCCAACCTCACCAACAAGTTAAGGCCGATTGCACCCAAATGGAAAGTCATGCCACTTGTCTCTGTGCCCACAAACCTGGCCCCGTACACTCAAGTGAAGAAAGAGTCAGAGGACAAAGATGAAGCCGTGAAGGACTGTGGGAAAGAAAGTCCCCACGAAGAGGCATCATCCTTCAGCCACTCTGAGGGGGAGTCTTTCTCCAAAATCGAGCCACCGTCAGAATCCAGAAAGGCCGAGCCATGTCCCCTGAAGGGGGAAGAGAAACTGCTGAAAGAGATCGTTGAGAAAGAGAAACCCCAGCCCTTGGAGCCAGTGTCTTCTCTGAGCAACGGATGCACGCTGGCCAACCATGCCTCGGCCCTGCCTTGCATCAACCCGCTCAGTGCCCTCCAGTCAGTCCTGAACAACCACCTGGGCAAAGCCACAGAGCCCTTGCGCTCTCCATCCTGCTCCAGCCCCAACTCAAGCACAATTTCCATGTTTCACAAGTCCAATCTCAATGTCATGGACAAGCCTGTCATGAGTCCTGCCTCCAACAGGCCGGCCAGTGTGTCCAGACGCTACCTGTTTGAGAACAGTGACCAGCCCATCGACCTGACTAAGTCCAAAAGCAAGAGAGCCGAGTCCTCGCAAGCACAATCCTGCACATCTCCACCTCAGAAACATGCTCTGTGTGACATCGCAGACATGGTCAAGGTCCTCCCCAAAGCCACCACCCCAAAGCCAGCCACCTCCTCGAGGGTCCCTCCGATGAAGCTGGAAATGGATGTCAGACGCTTTGAGGATGTCTCCAGCGAAGTCTCTACTTTGCACAAAAGAAAAGGCCGACAGTCCAACTGGAACCCTCAGCACCTTCTCATCCTGCAAGCTCAGTTTGCCTCCAGCCTCTTCCAGACATCAGAGGGCAAATATCTCCTTTCTGATCTGGGGCCGCAAGAGCGGATGCAAATCTCGAAATTCACGGGACTCTCGATGACCACCATCAGCCACTGGCTGGCCAATGTCAAGTATCAGCTTAGGAAAACAGGCGGGACAAAATTCCTGAAAAACATGGACAAAGGGCACCCCATCTTTTACTGCAGCGACTGTGCTTCCCAGTTCCGAACCCCTTCTACCTACATCAGTCACTTAGAGTCTCACCTGGGTTTCCAAATGAAGGACATGACCCGGATGGCTGCGGATCAGCAAAACAGAGTAGAGCAGGAAATCTCCCGGGTGTCATCGGCTCAGAGGTCTCCGGAAACAATAGCTGGCGAAGAGGACACAGACTCTAAATTCAAGTGTAAGTTGTGCCGTCGGACATTTGTGAGCAAACACGCGGTAAAACTCCACCTAAGCAAAACGCACAGCAAGTCACCCGAACACCATTCACAGTTTGTAACAGACGTGGATGAAGAATAGCTCTGCAGGTATGGGTTTGCTCCCAGGTGATGGTGACCAGGCCTTGTAAGGAGCTTGCTAGAAGGAGATGGGTCGTCTTAGAGGTAGACCATGTCTCCTGAGGCTAAGCTGGACCATAGCTTGCTCCCGTAGACTTCCTTTTATGAAAGGCAAGACATGATAAGCCAGTCCTCCCCATCCTCCCAAGTCCTTCAGTTTAGCGTGGGGAAGTAGCGATGAATCCCATCTAGGAGAGATGAAGCCCACTGTTGCCTCTAGGTCTTCAGGACACGTGGTTCCCTTAGCAACCTAAGGCCCAACCTCCAGGATCCACCTTCCCCTCATTTTGAGTAATGAGGACTAAATTATCTCCATCCCACTTCACCACTGGCTTTCCCACAACAAGGCTAATAGTTAGAGAGTAGGAAATCGGTGAGCAGCAGGCTTAGTAGGGGCCATCACTATACAGAGATACTGTAATCAGCTCATGAATAGCTTGACTCCATCTTTATTACCAGTCCTTGTAATGAACGCTTTCTGCAGCTTACTTATAGCAATTTCTGCCTTTGCACCTCCTTTTCCTGTGCTTATTTCCTGCATTAATTTTCCTACAGCAGAGCAGGTGCCTACAGAGGAGCGAATGGTAGGAAAACTCACTACCAAACAATGAGATGAAAAGATAGGGACTTTGTATTGTCTTTTGGTTTTCTTTTAGATAGACTCAAGATCACCACCCACCTTTAATACAGACAGATGTAAAACATGCCCTTGAGATTTTATTTTACATATAGAAATGAATGGTTTTCAGCCCATGTCTGGTCAAGTGCATGGGGTTGCTATTTGTATTGGGCTAGGGGCTGTAGTTCAATGGCAGGGCTCTTGCATAGCATGCATAAGGCCCTGAGTTCAAGCCCCAGTACCAAAAAAAGAAATGAAAATTTACAACATGTATCATGGATGTTCATGCCTTGTACCAGTGCCCAGATGCCTTTCATCATCCCCAGAAAAGAGGACAGAGCCCAAATGCAAACACTTAGCAGATTGGTCACGTCAGCCATTTTCAAACACTGAGCGTTAAGTCAGGCTGCATCTTAACAAACCTCTTTCGTATCCTTCTTCGCATTTCTCTGCCTCCTTTGCTCACCCCTCCAGCATGGCATCCCCATATGCTAGGGACCCCAACACATATTTAGGTGGCCTTCTGCCTGGCCACACCCCAACATGAGGACCCAACGAATTACAGCTTCTGCACGCCAGCCCAGCTTACGTGACGGCACTATGGATTAGCTCTTTTATTAACTCACAATAAGGTATGAAAAGCAGGTAAGAGCTTAGCCTAAGAATCTTCCCCACCCCCTATTCTCAGAAGCATTTGCTTTTACACAGGAGACTTTCAGATGAAGCTACACAGTTTGGACACTAGGGGGAGTTGTGGGTAGAGAGAGGCCCTTGTATGGCATGGCTCTGGGTGTGCCTCCTATGGATAGAGAGGTTCGGAGTGTGAAGATGATTTAAAGCAAAGGAAAAGAAATACCTGCTTGACGTGAGACTCTTCCCTCAGTGGGGAAATCTGTGCTCCTGACTCAGGTGGGCTCCAGTGAAGACCACCCTGTTGTTTGCATGCTTTTATCATGAAAATTAAATGTTCCGGGCAGATTCATCTGCGGGTTTCCAAGCATGTTTGTTTATCTCACCTTATTGAATGGAAAGCGTCTTTGCATCTGTTGAGTTCACACGTGAGCCTGGAGTTCTGCCCGTCCTATTTATTTGCCAGATCACATTTTAAATTTTTATGTAACTACCCACTATACTTTTCTGGTCCTTAAAAAAAATGGTGGACATATACAAAGTACTCAGAGAAAAGAAATATGTTTCAAATCTAATCGTTGTGGGTCCAAACCATGGCAAAGAAAACAAATAGGCGATGTTTATTTTGTGCTATAATAAAGACCAATTTTCCACCTGTTAGGTCTGTAATCATTTTTTAACTGCGATGTGTAAGTAGGAAGAGGGAGGGAAAGGAAGCTTGCGTACACCCTCAGTCAAAATCTGAAGTATACACTATTCCAGGGAAGCGAGGGTAACCAGTAATTTGGGGAAACACACACAAAGGGTACTTGGAACCTGATAAATGCATAGGTAGCGTAGCCATATTCACATGTCTGCAGTTCTGCAGAATAAATATTTCTAATTTATTAGCGTTATCGTTATATGCGAGCAAAGCTCCATCCTCAGGCATTCACTGCATGCTGTGCTTTCTGAGAGGATGGAGAGAAAGACGTTTGGAGTATCTGGGAGTTTCTCCATGCAATGGGAGGGTGCCAGGTGTTTAGAAAAGAGAGTGTGGGCCTGGGTGTGTTTGAGTTAATAGGGAAAGTATTCCAACCTGCTTCCATGCTTTCCATGCTTACCCCGACATGTGACAAGTTGGTATCTTGGGCTCTGCTCACCTAGGAAAGGGGACTTCCCACTTGGGGGTCCTCTGCTGGAACAGTATTTGTGTGATAGCTAACAGCATCCAACAGTAGCCTGTTCCCCTCTGCTTAGAATTGTGCGTATGATGGATTCAAATGTTCACAGAATGATGCATTGTTATCTGGAATTCTACTCTTAGATGGTGTAGAGAATGGCACAGTCTGTGCAAAATGACACAGCGTTTTGGAAAGCAGATCAAGATATGATAGAATATTCAAGAGCTTTGTCACATCTACGTTGTTTTTCAGGAGAAATTAATTTTGGTCTAAATTTTCTTTCCTTTCCTGGACCTGTCTTAAATCCTGCAGAATGCCCTACCAAAAATTCAACTCAAATATTTGTTAAAAATTCATTAGAAAATATCAAATGGGCATTCCTTCTTTTAAGACATAAGTAATCTAAAACAATTTTAGCCTGTATTTGTATATAACTTTAAAAGCCACGTGCTCTTCAATAATAGAAATTAAACCGAGAATGAATCATTGAGTCTCAAATGGATAAGGATTTGAAATTATAGTCATTACTGCGTAATATAGTACACAGATTGAACAGCACACCTAACCTTGAAATTGCTTGCAGAAATGTATTCTGCCACCTCTATTATGGGTGACTTGATTAAAATATATGTTCAGGGCAAAATATATAGAAGGCCAACAGAAAAGATAAAGGATGAACATCCAGTTAAACTTGCATTTCCAATAAACTACAAGTATAGTTTTAGTATAACTGTGTCCCAAATATGTATGGAGCATCGTTGTATTTTTAAAAGTCCTCGTTGTTTACATGAGATTTAGAACCCTGTATTTTTATTTGCTAAACCTGTCAATATTCATGATATGGATTAATTCATGTCTTTAAGTGGTATGCACCATTTCTCTGTCGTTTAGAGAAGCTTCCTTCCTTCTTTCCGTCCCTCCTCCCCTCCCTCTGGTCCTTCCATCCCTCAGCAAATATTGGTTGTGTTTCATCATGCGCCACATTCTATTCAGCAACAGGACACAGCAGCGAGCCAGCAGCAATGCCAGTTATAATAGCAAACTGTGCCAGGCCTTGCAGCAAGGGGTTCAGAAGAATCACTCCATTCTGTTCTCACAGTCCTGTGAAGAGCGGGTTGGTTCAACTGTCTTACAGAGAAGGAAGTGGGGGTGGGGACACAGTGCTACCTTGCCAAGGTCTTCACTCAATCAACAGCACATGTTTAGAAGGATGGGGTAAGAGTCTGCCATGGAGGACAGTGACTGACAGATAGCAATTCGGGGTGGCTGCTGGGTGCAGTGTGCAGGAGAGAGGCCTGTCCTGTTCTAGGAGATGGCGAACACTCATGCCAAGGAAAGTTCTGGAAGGACACTGAAAGCACAGGCCATCCAATACGGCTTCCAACTTCAACCCATCCACCTTGCTGTCTCCACTTCCACATTTGTAAAATGAGGACATTATACCCTCTTTCAGGAAAGATTTGAGAAATAACTAAAGATGTGAAACTACTTTCCATAAAACCTGGTACGTAGTCAGTTCAGAAAAGTAAGTTCTAGACCCTTCCCGTGCCCCTCACAGCCTCACCTGAAATTTATAGAATTTGAGGTCTTCTTAGTTGAACTAATTCATACCAAGTATTTGCTTCCCTTGCAAATCTCAGCCTGCTATTTGATTGTGTAACAGCAATCATGTATTGACCTCTTCCTATCAGGCATGGTACAGCGTCCTCATTTTGCAAGGAGCTTAATCTGAAGCTAAAAGGGTATCACCATCCCTCTATTTACACACAGTCAGCAAAGGTCTGAGTCCCATTCTCCTCCTTGTCTGAGTTGAGGGTCCACTGTATCTCCAGCAGCTCAGAGAAAACGCTCTAAAATGTGAGAGTTGAGCGAAGAGCAAGGTCTCCTCTGTGCCTTTGGGACGTGCCAGCTATAAACGAAACATAGTTCTGTGGGGCTTAAAGGCAGAGATGTATTCAGAGAAACAGGCCCTTCTGTGATTTTGCCATTGCATAAGCGTCACAGAGTGTACAAAGAGAGCCATGACATCACTGGGTGATTCCATCTCAGGAAACCACTCTAATACACAGAAACCAATGTTGACCAAAAGATTGTTGTGCAGCACGTAGCAGTGGCGGCCTGGGGCTGAGCTGCGGGAGGGAAGTCGAACACCCCAGTCCTTGTTATGGTAATTCCTTCATTTAGATGTGTGATTATACATTTGTCATAAAGTGTCTAACCAAGACATTACACAGGTCCCGGTGGACATGTATATAAGTCATCCTAACTCCTGGGAATTCATATTTAGATCGGGCATGCTCGGGGTGGTAGGACCATAGCCAAAAACAAAATGAGAATCAAGGAAGTGGGGTCACTTGGAGGCTCCCCCTTCTCTGGCAGCAAGAGCCAGACATGGCATCTTTCTTGAGGTTTTCTGTTTTGTTTTTTGGTT